ACGGTATAGTGCCGTCGAGGTGGTAGAAACCGTTATGGCAGGATATTGAGGACTGTTATCGCGATTGTATGTTAGGAGAGACGCGTCGGCGGTTGAGATTGGAGAACGGTCGGCGGAAGGTGGGAGAAACGGTTATGCCGGGAGATGGAGGGTACTGTCTGACTGGGAGTAAGAGACGGGGGCCGGGAAGGGTATAGAAAACAACCTGAAAGATTGCATGTCGCGACATGGCACGCTGGTGGTCCTTTATTATCTCCCTTCTTGAAGCTGGGAAAATGTCAATCCATTTCAACATGATGCCAATCCTTCTTTTATATGGGGTTTGCTATCCATAAGCGGCTAAAGCATTGTAGAACGATGTTAGTTGCTTGTATAATACTATTCATGTGCATGTGTGTTATATGCACTGTGTTATTCATGATATTTCCGATTATAGATTTATATTTCTGTTTAGGATTAACCAATGAAGGACTGTGGCCTACTATTGGTGGATGGTGATTTCCATTTTAATGGAAGTGTGTTATGCGAATACGGTGTCCTTGTCCTTGCGGTTCAATAGTTCTAACTTTACAATAAATTTATGTTGATTGTTAATGTCTCTATAGGATGGAGAAATAAATTAGCTACAATACGGCTACACATTCATTCAGGTGTAGCTTGCAATTACAATTTAATACATGTAATGCCAACGCAAACAATACCGCGGGGCGCAAGCGTAACCGCAATGCTACGCAACTCGTAACCCAACGCTACGCAACGAACCCAACGCTACCGCAAAGAACGCAACCCGAATGCGGAAAATGACACAACACATCACTTTGAGTAATCGTAATCATTTTTTCTGAATATTTGCATCTGGTAACAGGCGCGGCCATCTCGCAGGTATTTGGACAGAGTATGGAAAGGAGAATCAACTTTATCGCAGTAATCTGCAAGAAAAAGGCTTTTAGTGAACCGCATCAATGCGTATACTGGGATGCTAAGCGCTCTCTCAAGCTGTTTTACAAATTATGTGGTAAGTGCTACTTCGCTTTGTATCCATGTTCGTCATCCGTTCCCTTGGTTGTTCGCGTGGTCGGTCGTTACTCTTATATAATACCCGTACAGACTGGCAAAATTTGAACCTAACATTCAAACTGGTGTGCGGGTGAGCGGCGCTCGTCAAATCGTATCGTACAGACTTGCCAAAATTGATCCTACATCAAATGCAGTCATCAGTTCTGCCAGTTCAGCTCACTAGCGTCACCCGCGCAGATAGAAACTGTACCATAGTACGGTTAACCTAAAATAGTGCTTATGCGCATGCGTTATTTGCCATTTAGGGCCCAGTTTTTGTTCCGCTGCTCTGCTGTTACAGACACACAGCAAGGCAGGTTCGGTCCGCGCGCCTAAGTTATGTTCCGGGGGTTGCTTGCGTACAGAACACAAGCTTGGTGCGGGATAACTTATCCGCGGCCAAGTTATCCTGGCAGCCCTCCATTTGCGGGGCCAAAATTGCCTACGACGCCAAACGCGTATTAGAGCGGTAGCGCTGTACACCACTGCAAGGATATTGACGCGCGCCTTGGCGAATATATCAATATTTGCAGTCTGCTGCGGTATACTATCCCCCCTAATCCATATTCTGCCGTAGCTCCTCCCGTTATAGCTCATTAATTTACATCTCTTAATGCCTTCATCTCTAGATTATACCAAAAGTCTTGTCTGAATTCTTAGCTCTCATATTGCGTACTTCTCACATTTTTTTACACTGACAGATGCCACAAGTGTTTGAAGCACGACTGGCCACCCAGTGAGGAGGCAGCAGAGGCCACTGAGAAGCAGGTGCAAGTACCTTTCAACGTCCGAGCTTGCAAGCTACGGAAAATACGCTTGCCTGGCGATCACGTGGACCATCGCTGACCTTCACATACTGCTTCACTACGCCACGTCTCTCTGCGTCGGCTTGGGACCATAGCGTGTAAAGCCATGCGCCGATTCCTTCTTGCCGCCGCTTTATTTTGGAAAAAAAACTTATACAACTGTTACTGACACAGATACGTGTCGCCAAATATGCCGTATCATGTGAAATATTCGCCTATATATATATATTATTATATTATTATATATATATATAGACGATAGAGAGAGAGAGCAGAGGAGCAGAGAGAGAGACGAGAGAGAGAGAAACGACAGAGAGAGATGAATGAATCGGCGAGAAGAGAGAGCAGTCGGAGACTGAGAGCGAGATGAAGAGATATTCCTTAACGCGGAATGAAGGTTCGTATTAATAAAAGTTTACGTGTTGATTCGTCGCCGTATGTAGTGGGTTGGTCTACTGCCGCATAAAATGGCTATAAATGATATAGACTTCACTGATTGTTAATGTTTGTTTGATGTAACGTTGTCGATCAATTACAAGACCAATTATCAACCCCATTGACGTTTAGCGTGGTGGATGAGCAGAGGCGCAGTGTGAGGCCAGGGGGTTGAAACGATTATGGGTGTATCAGCAGTGCGATAGTTAGACACTCCGCGTGTCTTCACCACTAAAAGGTTCGTGCGGAGGCCCCTTTAAGGTTAGAGGCTTTACGGGCACGCCTTAAGAGCCTCGAACTGCGCTTACTTCGCAACCAGCTCAACGGAGGTCTTGTACCAGCATGTGCGAGATGATTGCAAGAAAATGAATGTCCGGCAGTAACAGCGTAGCACTTTGTTTGTTACAATTCGTTTCAACCCGGCTCAGCTGAAGCCGGCTTGCGGTACTAGCAGGCTTGAATGGCGATAACGTAACTTTATGCAGTGACATTGGTTTGTCCGTTCATGAGTTGGTGTTAAGCATCGTTCTCCTGTTAGTCTGGTAGTCTGAGACCTGTTTTGTTTCTGCAGCCATTATGCCTTGACATCGATGCCGATGTATACACGGCGATATTACGCGTAATAATAATTCTATTTCCATTCTGTGGCAGTGCACAACCATAGATATTGCTAGAGATATAATATATATAGGGACTATGATAGGGCCAGACTTAGAATATATCTAGGGCCACGACTACATACTGTTACACATTTATTTGTCGTCACTGGACGAATTATGCGTTGTTTATTTCTATGCAATTGTTTAAGAAATCGGTAGCTTTGTGCGTGGCGTGAAGATATCGGTACACAAGATGAAAGACCTCCAATTATAATACTCGTGCGCCTTTCTCTCGCCGTATGATGGCTAGATTTAGCATGTCTCATTGTACTTCCCCAGCCCTACGCACTGCACCCTTCTATAACAAGGGCGGTTAGCATGTCGCCAATGTCCCTTTGCACGCCCGTATACTCCATTCCCGTCCGTTATAATATGGGTTAGTACTTGGGGTGGTCACCGCTGTCGTTCTCATGTCTTATCGCATTAAATCGCGTTTACCATTATTTTGCTGTCCAGAGATTATTTAGATGATTTTGATAAACTATTATGTTTGCACTCTTCAATTTACCTTACTATATTAAAGACAATATACCCCGAATTTATTTAGAGTTTTCATTGAGCAGTCTTCCCTTGCCACTTCACGCTTAGCTCTGACATATTGGAACATATACGCCAATACACGTCGACAGAAAAAACTGTCGCAAAACAAATTTGCCTAAAAATGACACAGAAATACGCATAGTAAACCACAACGGCCAATTGGATGATACAGTTTGACTTCTTAAAAGTTTTGAATCCATGCAGGCAAGTGGAAACGTATTAGAATCATTCTAACGTGAATATGGCGGGATCTGCTTTTCGTCCACTGTATGTGCATTTGGAGATCGGAAAATCCGATAGAACACCGCTTCTCGATTATACAGATGCTCAAGTAGAGGCGTACATTTGAATTTGGGGTTTAACATTGTTTGATATTCAACCGCGTATATTAAAAAATGCTAGAAGTATTCAATAATATAATAACATACTGATTGGTAGAGATTGATTGTAGCCATCATGAAATATTATAGGAGAAATAAGCATATTGCAACGAAGATAAAATTGTGTTCATCAAGAACATAATTTGGACACGACAAACTATTGGAAAAAAATATGGGCAAGTTTTTTATGATTTTCGCAGTTCTACATTTTTGCTAGTGATAGTATGCTTGTTTCAATACACAGACGCGCCTAGGAGAGATATATTAAACGTATAAAAGGTTATTATGATAAAAAGTACACGAAAGCCAGGATGGGCATGTCACGAACTATGTTTCCGAACGGTACATGAGTAGCTTGTGTAGTGTGTGCGCTGTAGCTCCACCACTAAATGTATTTGTAAGGTAGAGCTAGAACGTCGCAAAGACTCGCTAAAATAATTTGAAAGTGATTTGACATCTTTATTGAAGCCAGAAGGAATAGATACGCTTAATTTATTCATCGCGGGACCCAGCAGTCACAAGTGTCATTTTTAAATTCGTCGTGTCAATAGACAGCTCGAGGTTAAGCGGGTAAACTAACGCCGAGTTAATGAATGCAGAGAAATTCAGTTACACCGGCGCTGCAAGTGGTCATCTAGATTTCACGAAATTATTTCATTTTATTTCAATAAAGAACCATTTTAGTTTTATCCGAAAAAGGCCGTACAAAGTTTCTTATCAATCCCAGCGTACAGTATCGAAGAACATATTTTTATTAAATTTTTGCTTTTTTGCGAGTTTAATTGTCAATACGTTATCTAGTTACCTCGTACTTTACTGATAGAAGTTAGTATCCAAAGAGATCCG